ACAACAAACCGCCAGAACCACCGCCAAAGAAACCGCCAGATGAGGATGACAGCGATGAAGAAGAAAAGAAGTTCAAACTGACAAAAATGATAGAAATAATGCTACACAACGGCGCTACAATAGCAGATATCATATTAAACTTATCGCATAGCGCAATTGCAACAACAATAAATATCGCAGATTTAGTCAATCAGATAACAGCAGGGAATGCACAAAGTAGCAGTAGCAATTCATCAAATGAAGCTATTAGTGTTCATAGTTCTGCACCTATTACTGTTCATAGTTCTTCATCTGAAAGTCCAACAGAAATACCAGCACCAACTGAAGACGAAAATTCAGAAGAAGAAGAAAAACAAAAAGATAATTTTGAAAAATTAAAATCTAAATAATATTATATATAATGGGTATTGGTCAAAGTAAAAATGATGCAAATACCAGTATGGAAGACATTAAGACTTTAAGAGTAGATGAAAAAACAAGAGCAGATACTTTAATAATAAAATCTATTCAAGAATGTGTGGCGCGAATTGAGAAATTAGAAAAAGAAACATCTGACAAATTAATATATAAACTTCCTGCTTTACAATTTTGCAATGCTTCGTTAATTTAAATTGATAATATTGAAACATAACTAATATTATTCCTTGCTATCATAATCTGTCATTTCACTTTCGGGTAATTTTGTTGAGGCATTGCTACACATATCATCTATTAAATCTTCTTCATCAACAAAATTATTTTGAAATCTTAATAACTCCTCGTCTGTTGGTCGTCTTTTTAGCACTTTATAAAGTTTATGTATCCAAGAATTTGTATGAAAATTATAATTACCTCTACGGAAAAATCCACCACATCTACATAGTTTCATTAGCATATTATTATATTATATTAAATTAGAATATCTTTATTCATCATTCGTAATTTGAAATGCCTGTTCAAATCTGATATGAAACATTTTGTTAATGTCTTTAGCATTCATATTCACGTAGAAGAAACTATAAGGTGCGTCATTAACGGCTTGATGATACATATCTAATAATTGCTGTTTATCAACAATGGCGCTATTTTCTTCAATAAAACTCATCAACTCAGTTGCATTTTTCAACCTAAAAATATATAATGAACTGGCATTTAAACGAATGATAGGCGCTAAAACATTATATTTTTGTGTTGAACAAATTACACTTACTGCATCGTGCCTGCCTCTTGTAAATAATCCATGTAATAATTTTCTATATCTAACAAATTTAGGGTCGTCTGCGTGGTCATCTATAACGATTAATACTGAATGCAGTTTCTTTATCTTTTTGGACTTCATATAATTAATAATTTTCTTCTGTCTTTCAATTACATTTTCTAAATCACTTGGATTATAATTATCGAAATAAATTTGTTCTTTCTCATCATCCACGTGCAATTCATCCCTGATATATTTTTTAACTTCTGTAAAGGTTGGGTCATTATGAACGCTGGGGGAAAATATAAATATTCTTGCAAATGAATTTGTATAAACATGTAAAATAAGGTTCTGGACTAAAACTGTTTTGCCACCTGTCAAACTCGCAAGTATAATACTTCTAAATGGTAATTTTGGCACGTGCTCATATTTGGATTGTTTGAATTCATATTCAGTTATGTTTATTGGTTTTATTATTGGGACATCTGTCATAGTTAATATTAAAGAAATATAGAAAATTATATTTAAAAATTAACTTGTAATTAATATTAAATGGAACATCATTTTTATGATATGCTGGTGGCGAATATCATAAAATGGAACAGGTTTTCCATTGCTTCAATCAATGAGCATTGAAGCTAATTAGTTTGAAGAATTCGTGTGTGCAATGAAAACTCCAAGTGCTGTGCCCCATCAATATTCTATTACGCATGAAATAATAAGATTAATTGTAATTTATCCTATTATTTAATATGCAAAGGAGTTATACAGATTATATGGATATAATAGATGAAGTAGAAAATATAGGACAAGTTGTAATAACTGATAATATATGTAAGAAAGTATGCTATTTTGTTTTAGAAATAGTTAAGGTAGGAATAGAATATCTCAAAAATAAAAATGTAAATGTTAATATAAATGCCTCCAAAGAAGAAGCAAGAGAAACAAAAAGAGATTGAATGTGTCAAATGCGAAAAATGCGGTCAAACAATTAAACCATTAAATGAATTAGAATTAGATAAAGAACATGTTCATGTGGTAGAACCATGCATACAGTACATACAGTAAAAAAGAAAGATGCCGACGGGAGCACAGTTGAAGAAAGTTGGGTAGAAAACTTCAAAAGTGGATTTGGTAGGTTATTTACACCTGAGAAAGAATGATGAAACATTAGTATTTAAAGAGTAGATTTAACACCACTTCAAACGCATAAATAAATATATAAATATATAAATATTTATATATAGAAATGTCTGAAGTTGAGAATGATGCTATTGCTGAACTATCAAAGAAGATAATGACAGTTAGTAAAAATGTTAAACTGTTGTACGAGATGATAAAAACTATTGACCAGAAACTTGATGCAAAGGCAAACGAACCAAAAAATAACAATGAAGAGAAGGAAAAGACTGACAAAATCTTTGAAAAGAAAGGGATAGGCAGACCCAGCGGTGATTATGACACGAAGCGTAAAAAATATTGCGATATGGTAAATAAGGGACAAATCAAAAGTCCAAAAGAACAAACATTAGAATATTATAAACTAATTAAGGGTGATGATGGTAAATATGTAATTGTTGAAAATTAAAGTATAAATCATTCTAATAAATGAATTTATTAGAGATGTTTAGCGGAACAGGCAGTGTAGGAACCATAGCAAAGTCGCTCGGTTTTAATGTAATATCGATATTAATTGAGAAATTTTGGTGAGTTTGGTGAATTAAGGAAAACAAGGTTGCGGTTGGGGTTGAAATCAAGTTTCAACCCTTTTGGTGGAACCTCTTTCCCCCTTTGGTGGAGACAATTTTATCACTTTTTTAATAGGGCTTCCACCTTTGGTGGAACATTTTTTTAATAGGGCTTCCCCCTTTGGTGGAAGCTCTTTCCCCCTTTGGTGGAACCTCTTTCCCCCTTTGGTGGAACCATTGAAGTTCAGGGGTCAGACGATGATGAATACTTCGCTTATTCTATCAACTACACTTCATCATGAATAGTTCTAATAAGATACAATTATCAGATTTATTCAATATATTTGTAAATGTCTATTGTGTGGTTGGTTGTTTGATTTTTTGTTTGGTTTGTTGTTTGGTGTTTTTTTCTACGAGGGTCTTACCCCAGAGCAAAAATATTATTTGTGTCTAAAACTATTTAAAGGGTAGATTGCATTTTATTGTAGAAGATTATGGAAAGGAAATATTGCGCGTGTTGTGGATGTCATAAGGATGGAAATGTATTTACCGATAGTTGTAAAACTTGTGATAGATGCCGTGAAAGGCAGAAAAAGAAAGACCAAAGAAAGAGACTGATAAAAGCGATGGATAAGCAACAAAAAGAAATAGAAGAAGGAGAAAAACAATACTGCACACATTGTAAAATGAATAGAAAGATTGGGTTATTTTCGGAAAATCATAAAACTTGTGATTTGTGTAGAGAAAAAATGAAAATCTACTTGCAGACATGGAGAGATAATCATAAAGAGGAGATACGTGAAATACATATTTCTTCGCAAGGGGGGAAAATTCATGTCCATAGAGGACTCTCATCAGGGCGCGCTGGTGTGCGTCGACGTGTTGTGGAAGCCCGGCAACTTCCAGGGCGACGGGGCCAAGAGGGTCGGAGTGTGCTGTCAAGCAACACTGACCTGGAGCTGTGGAGCCAGGCGCCGGTCGTCCAACGACTGGATGGCTGCTGCGTTGTTGCCGGAGGCTGCCGTGTTCACCGCCAGGTCTGTTACTTGTGCGTAGGGCGTCAGAGCGAGGGCCAGCTGCCCTCAGTTACCTCTCCGTTGTCCAGGATCTCCGGCTTCGGTCTTGGAGCGAGGCCGTCTCCGCGGCTTCGTCTTGGAGCGAGGCCGGCTGGGCGGCTTCGGTCTTGGAACCCGCGCCAGGCCCGCGCCAGGCCCGCGCCAGGCCCGCGCCAGGCCCGCGCCAGGCCCGCGCCAGGCCCGCGCCAGGCGCACCACGAAGTACAGTTCACCGCAAAATTTCGGTGATTTGTCCCGAAATTTTCGCCTTGAGGTCGTCCTCAAGTGGCGCGGGCTTGGCAGGCTGGTGCGCTTGGACATGAATTGAGGGAAAATTTCCTTCAATTCATGGTCCAGGTCATGCCTTTAGCCTAATGCCGAAACTATGCGTGGCGTGCAAAGTTTCATGGGACAAATACAAGCGTGCTACAGTCCTCCCCCCACGGGAGGACTTGCGTTTTCCTGGGAAGAATTCCGACCTCGGGTGGCGCGGGCTTGGCAGGCTGGCTCCGATGCCGGGCAGGTGGCGCAGCCGGGTGGCGCAGTGCCAAGCCACCGTATGACCGTATGACCGTATGATCCGTATGATTCGTATGACTCGGCAGGCTGGCGTGGCTCCGATGCCGGGCAGGTGGCGCGGCCGGATGGAGGCTCCAACGCCGTGCCGGGCCTGAGGGGTTTTACAGGAACCTATTGGAACCTCTTGGAACCGTGTAGGAAATCTACAGGAAACCCAGCCCTCTTCTTCTTTTTTTATGGACTTCCTATGGGTTTCCTGTGAGTTTCCTATGGGTTTCCTATAGGTTTCCTATAGGTTCGCTGCATGTACTTGTTCATGTGTGTTTTTACCCATGATGATCTTTTCGTGCGACATTCTGGTGCTCGATGCTTAGCGGGGTGCAGGGGTGCATTCATATCCTCGAACATAGTGTTCGGGGTGTGTCTGAGCTCACTAGCCTGCTGCGCGGTTGCATGCTTGCAACATGCGCTGGGCAAGCGTGCCTGGCGCGAAAGACATGCGTGTCTTGAACAACTTTGCTCAACCAGAAAACTTGCTCTTCAAGCAGGTGCATTTATAGATCTACATTTTCGTTCTTTCCTTTTTTGTTGGTAACATACCATCCGCTGGCACATTGCAACGCGTTGCGGCAGCAATGGAACATGGAGACTCGTCCGAAGCCGACCCCACTTTTGTTTCACTCATGAATGAGTGCCAGATTGCAGATGTCTTCCAAGATGACCTTTTGCAAGCAGGTTGGACGCGTGAAACATTTCAGTTCTGTGTCACTCGACTGGAGGATCTTGATGATTTTCTGACGGAAACATTTGCGGAGCCCATTGCTGGTTTGCCGCTGGCTCGTTTTCGCCTGCTGTGGAACAAGTGCCAGCAGGTTCCAACCGCTCCTGCGCCATCTGAGGAGCAGGATACACCTGTGGCGGCTGAAGGCTCGCAGGGTTGGTCAGAGACTTTTGCACCGAGAATGGCTACGAGCAAGATCAGAGAATTGAAGCAAGCCTTTGAAAAGGCTTATCCTAGCGAATTGCTCACTGCGGACAACTGTCCTAGCACAAGGCTGCTCAGCTTGGTGTTTAAGCAAGTTTCTGCAAAGGAGTGGCGATGGATCCCCTGGAAATGGCGGCTGTCCATTACCAAACATGACGAAGTGGTGCACTCCAGAACTCCCAAGCTCGCCAAGGTGGAGCACTTGCAGTTGCATGATCTCATGTGCGATGAGCCTCCTGCGCTTGACATTGCAAACATGGGAATGCATGCGGTCAACACTTCCATGCATGTTCACAACTTGGCTATCGCGATTTGCCGGGGCGCACATCTGGCAACACTGAATACTTACAAAAACCGCTTCATGCAGTTGCTCAGTGCCAGGTTCGAGCAATCATCAGGTCTGCGCGCCCCTAGCCTGCAAGAAGCCCAACAGGCGGATCAACGCCTTTGGCAACAGGTCGGCGAGTTGGTCACTGACAAGGGATGGAAGCTGGACGATGCAATTTACGAATTTGCTGTACTCAGGCCCGATATGCAAGCGCTGCTGCAGCCTCGTTGCAAACCGGTGATTCTGGCTCACCCTGGGAATTCCTTTGCAACTTCGTCGAGTCGGAAAGGTGGCAAGGCTCAGGGCAAGGGAAAGAAAAGCGCCAAAGGGCCTGCGGGGCCCAAACGCCCTGGGCTGAACAGTCAGCAGTGGATTGCGGAAGTGGTCAAAGATGGCCGGCGTCACACCTTGTGCATGCAATGGAACGCAGGACGCTGCTCCATGGCGCAATGCAACTTTCTACATGCTTGCGCTTACCCCAAGGCAGACGGCGTAGCTTGCGCGGGCTCGCATGCGGCTCGAGACCATGCTAGCGCCTCGCACTGACAGGATATCGTCCCGGACGGGGCAGGCCGGGAAAGTAGCTTTCATGATATTCTGCCCCAGGATCCTGGAAATGTTGCACCTGTGTGCAACATGACCGATCCAACACAGCACGCCGCTGAATGCGAGCCCGGTTTTTCGTGCAGTCAGTCTGTCCAGAAAGCCACTTTGTTCAGTCAAGCTCCTCAGCGCCAACAAGATGTTTCACCAGCATGCAGTATACCCAAACCAACTCGGCAAGCGCAAGACCGCGAGCCTGGAGTTCCTGGCAGCCAAGCTGCCCAGGAGCCATTTTTGCAGAATCAAGTTCATCCACGATTTTTTCTGGATCTCTGTTCAGGAAGCTCCGTGCCATTGTCCAGAGCAATGATGGAGGCGGGAAAATGCGTTCTTCATTGTGACATTCCATTGGATGCAGCAACCAATGCGGTCAACGATGCCGTATTCAGCTCCTTGGAGCGGCTCTGTTCTGCTGGAGTAGTAGGATACCTGGCGGTAAAGACAAATGGCAGGGAGCGCAGCCTGCTACAATTGCCTGCGCTGAAGCAAATGGTGCACCTTTTGTATTTGGCAGGCGGAGCAGGAGGTCAGGGGCACTTGGAGCAACCTGCCAATGCTGTTTCTTGGGAGGAAGATGTTGTGCAGACGTGGCTCCGTCGCGCAGGCGCCACATGCATCAGCGTCCCGGCTTGCAGCGTTGGGCTGGACGGTGACCGCAGCTGGTTGTTTGCGGGCACGCATGCAAGCTTCGACGCACTGGCCTTTTCAAGTGACCATTCTCCCGAACCTCATCCAGAAACGTCTACAATCAGACTGGCGGACAGCTCAACTCCCAGTGAGAGGACAGCAGAGTACCCGCTGGAGCTTGCCAGGCGTTTTGCGGCGATTGTGGCGCCGATGTGTTCTGGACCTGCAAAACAGCTGACATTGCAGGAAGCTCTCTCCTGGATTCCAATCAAGCGCATTCATGAGCCACCATGGGCTCTTCACGATGGTGCAGGTGGGAATCCAGATTGGAGTGCTCCGCAGAATGACAACTACCTACAGGCCTTACGCCACACATGGGTGAAGCTGGTGTTAGATGGTGGCCTCCACAAGAAGTTGATGGCACATTTGCAGCAACATTCAGCAGAACCTCCTTTTTCTGAAGCAGATTTGGCACCTTTCAAAACAGCTTTGATCAATTTTTTGTCATTGCAGGATACTGATTGGGCCATACCCCAGTGGCAACCCTTCCGGCTTCATATTTTGGATCGTTTGTGCTCCTTGCTTCGGCACCCTGACAAGGCCGTTATGCCCGCCTTATTTGAAGGAGTTCCCTCCGGCTTCCATCACAACATTCCTCACAGTACAATTTTCCCAGCCCGTGACACCACCATTGTTGCCGATACCAATCTTTCAGTGCACTTTTCCAATTGGAGCAATGCGGAAGCCAATGCTGACTTGGTGAGCGATCTCCTTCAGCAGGAGATGGCAGAAGGATGGGTCTACCGCTTTGACGGTGACTTAACACAAGCTCAGCAATGTTTCCCCGCAGGGGTTGCCATTGGTAAGCTTAATGTGGTTACGGCCCCAGGCCGCAAACCAAGATTGATTTTGGACAGCACCATTTGTGGAACCAACCAGCGGTGCCTTATCCCAGATCGATGCACAGTCCCTTCACCCAAAGACGTGCTAAGAGTGTTCCCACTGCGTGAAAATGCTGAAGAACTTTGGGGTTTCTCGCTCGATATACAAGCCGCCCACAAAAGAATTAGGTTGCTACCGGCAGAACAGGGACTGTTCGGTTTTCGTCATCAAGGACATTTGTATTTCTATCGGGTCACTCCGTTCGGAGCGACGCCGTCTGCACATTGGTGGGCGCGCGCAGGTGCTCTGCTGCTTCGCATTTTCCAAGACCTGGTTTTTTGGAAGCATGCCAGTTTGCTCTACGTGGACGATTTCTTATTCATGATGTGCAAGCGCGTTTTGCCGCTGTCAGCAACCATGATTGTGATATTGGCGCTTCTTTTGGGTTGTCCGATCAGTTGGCCAAAATGTGAGCTGGGACCGCAAGTTATTTGGGTTGGGTGGTCTTTTCATTTTAGCTCAGGCTACGTAGCGCTGACTGAGGAAAAACGATTGAAGCTACTTGAGCAGATCGCGTCTTTGCTGACGCATCGGCATGTTTCTCGCAAGGCTCTAGAGCAGTTTATCGGCCTCTTTTTGTGGGTTACCAACTTGTTCCCTCTGATGCGTCCGTGGGTCTACTTTCTGTACAAGGATTTGCGTAGCCCAATTGCAACCCAATACAGTTTGAACCCTGATCAATGGTTGCGCTTTTGCTCCATCATCAACGACGACCTGACCATATCTGAAACTTTGCCCGGCACGAGCTTCCGAGTTGGGTCGCGTGTCTTAAGCGTAAGACACAAGCAGTTGAGGCGCAAGGCTGATTTGAGAGACGTGCGCATCACTGATAAGAGAATTTGGGTGAGGGTTTCAGACCCTACTAGTAGCAGGCGTAAACTGCATGAAGACTCTATTCACGCATTGCAGATGTGGAGAACATGGGCGTCCAGCATGCCACCAGTCCTTTCCTTGTATCCACCACGTTGGTGGAGCATCACTGCAGCAGCAGATGCTTGTGCAAAAGGCAATGATATTGGAGTCGGAGGATTCCTTCAAGACGCCAATGGCAAAGTTCTGTGGTTTTCGGAACTTTTCCACATGCCCAAAAGGACATTTCTTCTTATGAAACCTTTGCGCAAATGGGACTCTTGCACGTGGCAGCAAGCAAGGCGCCCAATTGCAGATTGTGCTGTGTACTTCCCACTGTTACAGACAACACATCAGTCGAGGCTGGCGTGAACAAATTTTTCAGCTCAAAGTATCCTTTGTGCCGATTTCTGCAACAGCTTTGCTTGATGGCAACGCGCAGTGCTATCAGACTGGACACGACGCACATTCCTGGGGAACACAATATTGAGGCAGACGCGCTGAGTCGTTTACATGAAAACTTTCCAAAGCCAGAGCGCATGCAAGATCCCAACAGAGTCCGTTTCACCTTGCAAGACCTTTGGCAGGTTTGCCCAACTTGCAAAGTGTTGCCCAAAGGCACACGGTTGGGTTGGGATTTGCCATCCTCACAACTTCAGGGGGTATGTAGGAGCGAGGATGTTTTGCCGGGGCCTTTGGGGGGGGCTGATGGTTTGCTTGCCTGGTCTGTTTATGATGTGACACAAGGCCTCGCATTCCCGGCAAAACATCTGAGTGCGGTCGTGAGAGCTTCCTGCCCCCGATAAGTCTCTGGGTACAAAACGCTGCATGTACTTGTTCATGTGTGTTTTTACCCATGATGATCTTTTCGTGCGACATTCTGGTGCTCGATGCTTAGCGGGGTGCAGGGGTGCATTCATATCCTCGAACATAGTGTTCGGGGTGTGTCTGATTTGTTCCCTTCCCTCCCACCCATGTTTGCACTATTGAGGCACGATTTTCCATCGGTCAGTAATTCATGCCTTGCTCGCTCACAGCTGAGCTGTTATCGCTCCGTTGGGGGGCTGAGGGGGGGGCTGATGGTTTGCTTGCCTGGTCTGTTTATGATGTGACACAAGGCCTCGCATTCCCGGCAAAACATCTGAGTGCGGTCGTGAGAGCTTCCTGCCCCCGATAAGTCTCTGGGTACAAAACCCATAATTTCCTATAAGGGCTTAAAAAACTTCGAGCTCCCTCTCCCTGTAGGTGGCGCGGCCGGGTAGAGGCTTCGACGCCGGGCAGGAACGTGGCGCGCTCGGTATCGAAGCCTCCACAGCAAGGAGCCCGAGTGTGAAGGTTCAGAGTTCGAGCTGGCCGTGGGCAAGGGCTCCGTGCGAACTTCAAGTTTCAGATCAACGACTTGGAGGGTTTCCTGCGCTGCTCTTCACGGACACCTGGTGCAGATCTTTGAGCTGCAGGTGCACGCCATGGCAGAGGCGAACCTAAGCGGCGCCACCCTTTTCGACGTGGCCGGCAAGTCCAAGGACGCCGAGAACTCTTGGCGGCGCGCTCCAAGGCCATTGAGGTGATGGGGCAGTCCTTCCGTGCCCGGGCAGCGGCACTTTCCGAGTGTGCTCGGCATCTCGGTGGCGCGGTGCCAGGAGCCTTTGCGGTAAAGCGGGCCATGCACCTTGCCACTTGTACTCCATGTCGCCGCCAGTGTTGCTGGGCGTGGCTCTCAGGGTTAGCCCCTGTCTGCTGGCCAGCGCCTGGAAGTTGTGGATCAAGTTGTAGTGGCCGCTGTGCAGGAGAAGCAGCACGGTGATCTAGTGTGTATGTTGATACAGGCACTATACTAATAGCATTTTGTAGCCTAAAACCGTGCAAAAAAAAACTCTCCTCATGGAGGGTTTTTTTAAGCAGCCTCAATGTCTCGTGCCAGCTGGTCGAAGCTGGGCGGAGGCAGGCTCCGACTGCCCGGAACTGGAGCTTGCCCGCGAGCCGTCGGCTGAGACTGGGGCAGGGTTACGGGGTTCAGGTCTCTCTCTTTACAAGCTCGCAAGCCGAGACGCCTCCATCTCGGGCCTGAAGGCGGACGCCAGCGCCCTGACCGCGTACGCCCTGCTGTCGGCCGTCAACACTTCCTCGGAGGTGGGCTCTAAGATAGCCACGGCAGCCCTGGATGCCGCCCTCGTCGGCAAGGCGGACGCCAGCGTGCTGGCCGCCCTGCTCTCCACGGTGGACGGGTTGAACACTCCGCTGGAGGTGGACACCAAGATAGCAAATGCCTTGCTGGGTCTCGCCACCGAGGCCTTTGTCGCAGCGCAGCTTGCCAGCCGTGACGCCAGCATCTCGGCGCTCCAGGGCGCCAAGGCCGACGCGACGCTGCTGGCCTCGTACGCCGCGCTCTCAGCCAGCGAGACCACGCTCCAGAGCGCCCTCGACGCAATCCTCGCGGAGCTCGCCGCCCTGCAGCTTTCCGGCAGCGGCGGAGTTGTTAACGCGCCGGCCTGGGCGGGCTTCACAACTTGGGAGCTTGTTCGCGGAAGCAACGTCGTTCGCAACCTGCATCTCGAGGCTCCTCTCTCTGCTGCTGGCCAACGGCGACGACACGCTGAGCATCACGGCCGACTGCTACTCCGTCGCAGCGGCGGACGCGGCCCTCGCGGCTGCGCTGCTGGCCTACTACACCTTGGCGCAAGTGGACGCGCTGTTGGTCGACTACCGGACGGGCGCTGCGCAGGACGCCGAGACGACCAGCGCCATCTCGGCTGCGCTGCTGGCCTACTACACCTCGGCGCAAGTGGACGCCTGTTGGCCGACTACCGCGCGGCAAGCCTTCAGGACACACAGGCGCGCTGCTGGCCTACCGGACGGGCCCGGACCAGGACGTCTTCACGACCAACCAAATCACCTTGGCGTACCGCTCGGCCGCCGACCAGGACACGGCACGGCGTCGAGCAGCCGCCCTGCTCAGCTACTACACCGTCGCACAGGTGGACGGCCTCCTATCCGGCAAGCTCGGAGTCACGGAGGCAGCCTCGGCCCTACAAATAGCCGTGCGGAGGGGCCGACGAGGTGGTGGCCGCCATCGGCGAGCAGATCCTGGGCCCCACGGACGTCTCCCTGTTGAACTGGACGGTTCGCCCCAGCAGCGGCTGCAGCGTGGACACTGTGGGCGCAGCGAGCGTGGACGGCTACACCCTGACCCTGGCAGTGAACCCCTGGAACATCGTGCGCGCCTACAACTTGACGCCAGGCCGAGCTCCGCGCGGCCAACTTCGTGGCGCACATGTCCGAGGCCGACAACGTCTACGACCCCCTGTACGGCAGCTTCGTGGGGCACGGCCAAGATGTACTTCACCGCGCCTCCGAACGCTGCTGAACCGTGACCAACACCTCAGACTTCTCGGACGATCTCTTCTTGGAGCAAGCTGCAGATTTCCAAAAACAGCGCGGCGTCCGACAGCGGCCCGGAGCTGCGCCTGCTGGGCAACCAGAGCGCACGGGTCTTCCTGGAGCTGGACGGCGGGGCGCACCAGTGCGAGCTCATCATGATCAACGACGAGGCGCTGGTGCAGACGAAGAGCCTCTCGACGCAGCTGTCCCTGACCACGAACCAGAGGAACCCCGGCTGCCTCGCGGGCGCCGACGAACGCGGCAAGGCGCTTCAACCCTCAGTACGGCGACGTGCAGCAGCTGGGCGCCGTGGACTCCATGACCGTCCGGAGCACGGAGGGCCGGGAGACCCTGCTAAAGCTGGCGCTGTGGCGCTGCAGGGCAGCGGCCCGACTGACGAGACGGGGCAGGCCGGCGGCTGTGAGGCAGCTGGACGACTTCCTGGCGCCTCCGAGGGTTTTTTGAGGCACTCTTCAGGCCTCCCTGCATCCAGGGAAGCTTGAGCAAACCCTTTTTTGCGCAAAAAAAAAGCTGGTTGTGCAGGTCTCGCTCTAGAGGAACCTTGCTCAGACCATTTCTTTTTGGTGCAAAAAAGGGCTGTCTTTGGAGGCACTCTTCGGGCCTCCTCGTTTTCGAGGAAGCTTGAAGCAAGCCTTTTTTGGGTTAGGGTTTGGGGTCCTCGGGAAACCAACGGGTTGGGCAAACCAGTATCAAACCAGCGGAGCCGTGGGCAAACCGTGCAAACCGTGCAAAACGAGCTATTAGTCTAGGGTGTATCTTCATATACGGCCTAGGCTAATAGCATTTTGTGGCGCAAAACCGTGCAAGAGCTATTCCTCTAGGCCGTACATACATGTACACCCTAGAGTAATAGCTTTTTGCAGCGCAAAGCCGCGCAAAAGCTGTTAGCCCTGGGTTAGCGTTACCTAAGTGCCCGCTCGGCACTGTGCCCGCTCGGCGCGTCCTACAAGTGCCCGCTCGGCACTGTCTCCTACGGTGCCCGCTCGGCACTGTGCCCGCTCGGCACGTTAGCTAAGTGCCCGCTCCGCTTCCACGCGGGGGCTGAACCACATGTCATGCAATCCACATGCAAAACCGTGCAAAAAACAAGCTGTTCCACATGTCAAAATCATGTCATGCAAAAAGCCGCACCGTGCAAAATCCATGCAAAAACCATGTCAAAAACCATGCAAAATCGTGCGAAACAAGTCCCCGTCCCGGAGTGCCAAGCCGCCGAACCCTCACAGGCTATACGTCCTATATGTGCTATATGGCTCTTACAAGGCAAGCCGTGGAACCCTCGCAGTCTCCGGGCCCCTTGCTATACGTCCTATATGTGCTATATGGCTCTTACACGCCAACCAGCAGAGCTGT